GCCTCTAACAAATTCAGTCTTATTTGTTGGTTTGGTTTTTGTTTTTTTAAAAAGAATTTTGGCTGTTTGCTTTTTTTTTTTTTTTTTTTTATGTTGTCTTGACCTGCAGTAACTATATGGATATGTGCTTGGACCTGCTAAGTATTTTAATTTTGCATATTTGGCTGCTTTAATTTTAAGTAATTTCTTTGGACAACGCAAATTTTAAGAGCTTGAGAAGCTGTAAGTGAAATATCAAGTAACAAGCTTATAACTAGTTTATAAATGTGTATTTATTACCTATTATATATTTTAAGGTTTTATATTTTACCTGGATTAAATTACAAATTCAGTTTCTCAGTTGCACAGGCCACATTTCAAGTGCTGTTTTCAGGGCATATGTGGCTAGTGGTTACCGTTGCGGACAGCACAGGTAAAAGATGTTTTTTTCATCACCAATAGTTCTGTTGGACAGGGCTGTTTTAAATTGTATACACAGTTAATTATAAGGTCATTTTTGATACCAGTTATTTTATCCGGAAGGTAAAGCGTGTGGCCAGCCTTGAGAATACTTCCTCCAAATATGTAGTTTGAGTATTTAAAACAGTTGTTTGAAACAGTTCGGTTGCTTTGGTATTTATGCTACTTTAAAGTGAAATTGTTTCTTGTGGCAGAATTCATGAAGTAGGAAAAATGTCAAGGACTTAGTCTAAATTTGAATCCTGACCCCAGGACTTACTAGTTTAGTAACTTCTGGTAAGTTACTTTACTTCTTTGAGCCTCAGTTTCCTTATGTGTAACAATAGTTACTTCATCGGATTAACATGTGACTTAAATATGCCTAACAGCGCATTTAAAAGTGCATGTTTTTAATCCTGTAAAAATATGGAATGATGCAAAAGCATAAGTTAATTAGGCAGTGTCGTCTGGGGAGTTGTTCCCATCCCAGCCTGGCAGTTATAATAGGGTGCCTAGAAATGATTAAGTCAGGAAGACGTTCCTGGTCTTCATGGAGTTATTTGATGATACTCTGTAAGTTTGAAACAAGTAGACTACCAAGATGGAGAGAAAAAGAAATAGGAAGATGACTGACTTTGTTTTTGGAGAGGTTCGTGAAGTACTATCTGATAATAAAAACTAATATGTTGTATAGTGTTTTTATACAACTTAAAAGGTTTTGTCACACAATTCTTTAAAATTTTATCTCTAATATTTTGAGTACCTTTAACAGACTAATATTAGAGAAGAATAAAAAGAAACTCAAGGTTGAACATTTTTCAGGTTACATAGCTAATATTGAGAATGGAAAATCATATTAAGTTTTCAACTTTAAGGCTTAGGCTCTTTGTATTTCAACATGCTATTCTTTGATAGCAGTAGCATTTGTGAACCAGGCATATATTTCAGAATCTCCAGGAATTGGACTCAGGTACATAATAATTTTTTGGTGTATGTTGAAAATGTACCCTTTGAAGTGAGTCGAGTGCCCACTTCTGGTTAAAAATCATTGCTCTTTTCCAGTCTTTCAACTTTTCTTTTTCTGTAATCAGTACATCCAAATTAATGCATTGATGACATGAGTAAGACAAGGCATCAAATTGATAAGCAATGCACTGAACTTTTACTACTCTAGATGTTGAGCTATGAGCAACAACACTTTTTTTTTCTTGAGGTGGAGTCTCATTCTCTCTCCCAGGCTGGAATGCAGTGGTGCGATCTTGGCTCACTGCAGCCTCCGACTCCTGGGTTTAAGCGATTCTCCTGCCTCAGCCTCCCGAGTAACTTGGATCACAGGTATCTACCACCATACCTAGCTAACTTTTTTGGTAGAAACAGTGTTTTACCATGTTGGCCAGGCTGGTCTTGAACTCCTGACCTCAAGTGAACACATTTAGTTCCCCATTTACAATCACATATGTCTCCATTGATCATTGCTCGTGGAGGAGGAATCCAGACTAGCCAGCTATGGTAGTTAAATCTGTGAGTGTTCCCTTCTCTGCTTCTTTAATATGAGTTTTAGCTAGTTAGTAGTCTACCCCAAGATCTTCCAGTCCCGAATGTTGACCCCTTAGTCCCTGTGCATGATATCTTCATGAACGTTTTCAACTGATTGGCTAAAGATTTTTAATCTTTTCCCAACTGTCTTGAAGATGCTTTAGTATCCTGGGTTTAGTGGTGTTTCCAGGTCCTGTTTAACTATGAATGTATCACATTACTGACAACTCTTTCACAATTGTGAAACCTAGTTACTTATGTGAAGGCAAAAGCTCAAAACTTTCCTTTGAATGAAAGTGTCATTTATAGGGGTGGGAGAGGGGACTACTTTAGCAAACCCCCCAGGTAGGTGGAAATTAATCATATTGCACAGTGAATTTTCAAAACGGAAAATGTTTTTAAACATACTAAGACACGTTCTATTGGAAACAAGACTTTACAATGTGAAAAGTTAAGCATTTGCCATTTGAAGCTGTAATCATGAGGTTTTGAAGTCAGAGTGAACTATCTTCTAACTCAGAGTTGCTCATCAAAATGCAATTGATCCGTGGCTACAGTGAGTTAACATTAGCTTTTAATTTTCTGAGCAGAGATTATTTCACTAGAAGCTATTTTTAGCGTATATTAGACTGCTTCTGCACTGAAATCAGTGTGTTTGGAATGTTTTTACAGGTATACTTTTCTTGAACAGAAAATATAATTGTGAAGTACAGTTCTGATTATTTTTTATTACTAGGGCTTAAGGGAGCTTATTTTTAAAATGACTTCAACCCAGCATTCTGAATTACACTGAAAAGATTGTTTGAAAGCATCTAAGGGATAACTCTTGCCCCTGTCAATTTTAAAATAGCATTGTGTTCTTAAAATATATATGATTCTGTTAATTATAGGCAGGTTGGATTTGTCTTTGTTGTACTATAAATTTTCTTATAAATAGGATAAAATTTAGACCTTTTAAAATATTCTCATCTCAAAGACTTTGAAGAGCTCTGAAACAAGATGCATGTAAAATCGATGTTGCATCATAGTTTAATGGAAGCATTTTTCTTTTTAACTTGGTGATATATAAAGCTAATGGTGCACATTATGACCATTGATGTTTTAGGTTTGATAAAAAGTAGCGGTTGACTTTCTGAAGTTGGTTGTGAACTTACATAATTATTTGATAAGATTGTATATTTTTGTGGTGAAAAAGTATGTAAGTGGTGAGAATATACCATATTATTTGGAATTATAGACCTTTACCAAGTTTTTTAGTGTTTCCTTTAGATCCTTTTTTGTTCTCACTGCTATCAGTTAGATGCTTTACATTATACTTGTTCCTTATCTGAATTTCCTATTGAAAGATACCAGAACAATAAGAGAAAAATGGAGATCAAGAGAACAAGAAAAGGCATGGGATGCAGGATGGGGTGTGAGTAGTGGGTAGGATCTCTAGGGCCAAGAGAAAAAGAATGGGGAAAGGGAGTGCACTTCAGGGAAGTGGTAATAACATTTTCCATTTCCAGCTTTGCTTGTCCAGAAGTGTTTACCTGCTTAAGTTTCTGATTGTAATATATTAGCTTGTGAGCTGTCCAATAGTTAGCTGAAATCACTCCTAACATATTCCATCCATTCAGCTAATATAAACCCTTCCTGCTGAGGCCTTGCTTATTCTGCAGAAGGTGCCCTGTTAACTCCTCCAGCCTTCTGAGTAAATCATCTGCTGGTATCTTCTCTTGTGTAGACCAAATAGAGTCTGTGTTCCCTCATAATGAGCAGCCTCAAAATGAATAATTAAAGGGAAGAACCACTTCGTATAGAATGAATTTTTCTGCTGTGTACTATTACAGATATGTACACAATTGAATTTGTTGGTTGATTTTTATAGGAGGAATGGGCATACCAAACAAATACTTAACTTTAGAATACTTCCCTGCCTTTCCCTGTCTTTCAAAATTTGGGTAGGGATTGATGTAGTCTTTTCCATTTAGCATATTTGACTTTTTTATTTCAAAAAGCAGTAATTTGTTTATTTCTAGTATTCGTATTGCATGTTCCTGCTTTAGCTTTCCATTGTCTAAATGAAGAACATATACTTTGGAGAAGTTTATTCATGTTCTTCAGTAATGACATGTTTCAGTCTGCATTTAAAAAAAGAGTCACAAAATAAATCTCACTTACATACTCTATTTTAAGCAAACTGCTTTTAAAAGTTAACATTTAACGTTAGAATGCAATTTAAATTTTCAGTATGAAACATGGATTGAGAGAACCTTTTTCATTTTTTTCAAAAGAAACTTTTGCATTATAAAGAGATTTACCCTTGGAGCTTTTAAGCATGCCATAGAGGTTTTTTGCTTTTGTTTTTGTTTTGTTTTGTTTTTCTTAATACCCTGCAGATCCTTTTGGAAGCCACTCCATTTGATGCCTGGAGTAGGCTTGGCATTGTCATGGAAAAAGATTATGAAGAATTGCTGCATTCAATTCTGAAATCCTCAAGTTTCTAAAAGTCTCTTTCAGAATTTACGTAAAAGTTTTGATATTCCTTTGCATTTTCTTGAGTTAAGCAGCTTTTAAAACTCCCACATTCAGGGTGATCTATTGAACTTACCCAATTTTATTAGAATTTTAAAAATTATAATAGTATTTTATTTTTAAGTCTTTTCACCACATTACACTGTCAAATTCTTTGAACTACCTTGGGCAAACTAAAGGAAAAGAAATTCTGTGGTACAAATAACTAGCTTACTGATAAAGTTGTAGAATAAAATCTATGCAAGTTGGGTGCTTCTGTACTATCTTTGCTTACTGTAATGCTTCAATAAGATAGAAATGAAAATGGAGATACTGGAAGTAAAGGTAAACATTTTTCAGTCATGTATGAATAGTATTTCAAATACAGGTGCTGAGTTTTATGTATTTCTGATGAAAAGATAAGCCAAGTAAGGTGGAATCACAACTCTTTATCAGTTAGCGTTCACAAAATTCTTTTTTCAATTTGATGGATGATTATATTGTCCTGAATTCATTTTCTCTTTCTTCAGAGGATGTACTGAGTAAAGATGCTGGGGAATGTGCAATATGCCTTGAAGAACTGCAGCAGGGAGATACTATAGCAAGACTGCCTTGTCTATGCATATATCATAAAGGGTAAGTTCACCAAATTGATATTAGAGTAAAAGCTTATTCTCACAGTTTCAAACATTATAATTAGGACTGAAAAGGAATCTTCATTGAAACCACCCCTTCCCTGCCCCACAAACTCTTCTTAAAACTTAATGACCTTTTTTCTCTACTTGAACTAAGACTTGAACCCACATCTGTTTGAATTCAAAGTCTGCTATTTTTAAAGCATTTGCTGTGATCTAGCTGTTGTTCATAACTTCTTAAATAGGTTATGTCATGTAAGCCTTGTAATCATTGCATGTTACAATTGAGGAAATAAGCTAATGGACAGTATGGAATTTCCCCAAGATTACAAGGCTAGTAAATGGCAGAACTGAGATTCTGGTAGATTTGAAATCTGCTTGACTCCAAAACCTGTCTGGTTTCTTATATGGTCTTTTTGCTTTTAGAGTGATACAGGAAAAACTGGGGATTAAAAAAAAAATTTAAGGTAACCACAAAAAGAAAACTATGACTTTCAAACTGATGAAAACACATTACTTAGTACTTAAAGGTGGGGTGGGAAAAAACTTAGAGAAAACAGAGTAAATAAGACAAAATAGACAAAAATATATCCAGATACATCAGTTATAATAAATGTACATAGAACAAACTCACTAGTTGAAAAACTGATTGAAAGGTTGGGATATGTAGTTGATAAAAAATGTATTTAAATATAAGGATACATAAAATTTGAAAGTAAAAGGATAGAAAACTGCACCTAGGCAAATATTAATTGAAAGAAAATTTGCAAAGCTAAACTGTTACACAAAGCAAACTGTACAGCAAAAGCATTATTATGGATAGAATTACTTTGGAATGACAAAAAGTATATGATATTCAATTTTTATGTATTTAATAACATCTCAAAATAAAAGATTTATGAAACCCGCAGACAAAATTGACAAATTTATCATCATAATGAGACATTTCAGTACATCTTTTATTGAGTCAAGCCACATACACAAAAAATGAATCAAGACCTAGAAAAATAGAGCAATGCAGTTAACAAGTTTGATCTAATTGATGTGAATATATATTTGTATCTGTGCCCATCAGTTAGAGAATACATATTTTTCAACCACACATGAAGTATTATAGAAATTGATCATGTCCTAGGCCATAAGTGAATCACAGCAAAGTACTAAGAATTGGTACCATATAGGATGCCGTACACTGACTGCTATTAATTGTCACTAATAAAAAGATAAATAATCCTCATACATACTTTTGAGTAACTTGTGGGTCAAAGAAAAAATCATCATGGAATACAGGAAATACTCAGAACTGAATAACTGATGTTTTTGACAAGCACCTAGAGTGATCCGCAGAAGGTTTATGTTACAGTAGAAAGGAAAGCTGAAAACTCAATAAGCCAAGTTTCTTGCTTAAGAAATTAGAAAAGTAACAGCAGAATAAACACAAATAAAATAGAAGAAAATAATGAAGACCAGAGAAGAAAATAAGTTTTAAAATGACACACTAGAGAACCACAAAGCTATCAGTTGGTTCAGAACAGGATTGCCTCTAGAGGAAAAAGATGAGGAATGTGAATTCATAGCAGAAATTAAAAACAATGAGAAAAAATAGGCCTATAGATGCAATGCGGCAATGGGTTCTATCGAATACCCAAAGAACACCAAAGAAAGTAGAAGAAGATGGAAGGTTTTCCCATTTACTTTGTGAGAAAAGTATAAACTTGATACCAAATTCAGGTAAGGACAGTACAGGAAAGAAAATTAGGAAGCACTCACATTTATGAACATAGATATAAAAATCGAAAAACATACCAGCAAACCCAACTCAACAATATGTATCAAAAAGTATCTATCTAAAATAATGCCTCATGAGCAAGTTGAATTTATGCTAGGAATGCAAAGATACTGTAAGATAGAAAATGTATAGATGTAATTTACTACATTAACAAAGGAAAAAAATTAATAAATGTGAGAAAGCCTTCAGTAAAATTCTATACTTGCATATTAATGATTTAAAAATAAAAGCTAAGAATATTAGATAAATTATTAAAATTTATAAGAGTTCAAGGGTTGCCAAATATGAGATCAACCTATGGAAATAAGTTGCATTCATACTGCAGTAAGAAAAAAGGAAATACAACTTAAAAAATTATAAATGTCAACAGAGACTAAAATGACTATAAGGCATATTAGAATTAATTCTATAAAAGATATGTAAGACTTTCCTTTAGATAAAATTTTAAAACTTTATTGAAAGATATAGGCAATCTGAAATAAATGTGGACATGTATCATATTGCAGATAGGAAGACTCCGTGTCATAATGATGTCCTTTTGCCTCAGATTGACCTATATAGTTAATGCTACCTTAGTCAAATCTCAGCTAGTTTGTTTCTGAAACTACATGGGGACCAACAAGTGAAGGGCTGAGAACGGTTAAGACACTCGTGAAGAAGAACACCATGTTGGTGGGGCTTTCCTGTACAGATTTATTATAAGACCACATTAAGACAGTATGGAAATGGCACAGGTGAGCCAATGGAATGGAATGGAGTCCATAAACACTTGTGCCTATCTGGAGAGATCGCATAGCATGGGAGTTAAGAGCATGGACTTTGAAGGCAAGACACTCAGCATTTGAATCCCAGCTCCTTCACTAATTCTGTATGTGATCTTGGTCAAGTTAGTTTTTCTCTCTCTCAGTTCATAAGATGAGGACAGTAGAAACAACTTCATAGAGTTATAAGGGTATAAACGAGTTAAGTTTTGGAAAGTGCTGGCACATACATAATAGATCTATATAAATGTTTGTTGAATAAATGAGAAAAAATTGATTTGCCAGAGATGGAATTACAGTATAAGAGAGAAAGAATGAACTATTCAGTAAATGGTGCTAGGATCAATTGGTTATTGATATGGAAAAACATTTCAGTCCTTATCTTGCATTTGACATAAAAGTTGATTCCAGGTTGACTAAATGCCTGCCTCAGAGAACCAAAATCTAAAGTGATGAGGAAAGAAAATAGTGGAAATGTTTTTGACCTCTTGATAGGAAATTTTTTGTCTAGGATACACCTGCCCCCAAGAAGTAATTTCAAGATTGATAAATTTGGCTATATTAAAATTTAAAACTTGTATCATGACACTGCAAAAAAGTAAAAAAACTAGGCCTCAGACTAGGATTGTTTTTCAGCACACATAATAAAAGAGTTTTGGTATTGGAAATAATGTTCTCCTTCTGTGACTTTCTGTAATGCAGTGAACTAATTGCAGTTGGTAAATGGGAGAGTGAAGACAATATAGTTACATGATCTTACTGGTTCTACATAAGATTTTCTAGCACATTAATGTTCTGCTTCATCAGATAACAGCAGATGAAAGCATATAGCTAACACAGTGAGCTGTGTAAGAATACAGTGTATCCATTTCCCCATGTTCTTATTCTTAATTAGACCACGGACTTTGTTGTGGAGTCCTTATTTCACAGTTCTCACATTTTGTGCATTAGCTTTTTTCTTCATAACTCAGCAGCCTCAATCCTACCTTAATCCTCTTTCTGTAAAGCTAACTTCATCATTAAAAAATATGTATTTACAATAGTGTTTTATTGATTAGGAATGAGCATGTCTTTGTTCTGGTTATAAAATTGTGTTATTTGAGTAGTCTGCCTTTAACCTGAATTTTCCCCCAAGCCCTGTTACTTTTAGCCTTCAATTTTGTGGAAAGCAGTGTTGATCAAAAACCTGTATATTATAATACAAGTACCTGGATGATAGCTTCTTAGAAAACTATCAGTCAATTCAGATAAAAAAAAGGACCCTCAGCTGGCCAATAAATATAAATAGACGTATTTGGTAGATAACCCTGGATACAGTACATGTGTACTGCACATAGTAGATAAAGCTGTGTGCAGTACATATCCTACAACTCAGTAATTCCACTCCTACATATATTCCCTAGAGAAACTCTTGATCTTTTGCTCTAAGACAGTGCCACTATTCAAAGTGCAGGTCCAGAAGGCGTTAAGGAGCTTCTGCTAGTTAAATCAACACTATGCTGCTTTTATTGAGAGAGTCTTGCTGTGATTTTTTTTTAAGTTATTTGAAACTGTGTGATTAGTGAGGAAATTAACTTCTATTTGGGCGCAAACTCCTTAACCTCAAAGAATGTTCATAGCATCATTGAAAATATCCATCAGTAAAAGATTGTATATATAAATTATATATATTGATATAATGGAATGCTGTACACAATGAAAATGTAAAAACAGGCTGGGCGCGGTGACTCATGCTGTAATCCCAGCACTTTGGGAGGCCAAGGCAGGTGGATCGCCTGAGGTCAGGAGTTCAAGACCAGCCTGACCAACATGGAGAAACTCCATCTCTACTAAAAGAACAACAACAAAAAAAAAAACCAGAAATTAGCTGGGTGTGGTAGCAAGTGCCTGTAATCCCAGCTACTTGGGAGGCTGAGGTAGGAGAATCACTTGAACCTGGGAGGCAGAGTTTGCAGTAAGCCGAGATGGCACCACTGCACTCCAGCCTGGGTGACAGAGCAAGACTCTGTCTCAAAAAAANAAAAAACAAAAATGTAAAAACAAGAGACTTACTAATAATTGCACATCTCAAATTGAGCAAAAAAAAGCAAGTTACAAAAAGCATAATAGTGTTTTATGGTAGAATTTATATAAAATTTTAAACATGGAGGCAGTACTACATGTTGTTTTAGAATATACACATACATAGTTATATACAGTAAGAAGATGCCTAAGAATGAAAAGTACCAAATTGAGGATAGTGCTTTCCTACTGGGGCTGAGAGAAGGGAATATAGTAATGTAAATAACAAATGAATATAGCTTAGAATGGAACATATGTGGATTGATAGAAGTTTATGAGAAGAGGACCTGGAGTTTTAAATGATTACTTTCTCGTGATGAACCAACTTCATGGTTGTAAAATAAGGAGTACTCATGTTAGATTGCAGATAGATGCTATTCAGATATGTTATGAATTAACACATCTGGAGTATTTTGTTTGATTATCAGAATTTCATTTTAAGAGGTTTTCTGGCAGTGGAACTTCCAGTGCCAAGTGGTAGACAGCAGGCTGAAAACAATGTTTTAAGCCAAACTGGGCATATATTTAGAGAACAAACGTCTTCACGGCAACTGAAATTTAGTTATTTGAAAGAACCTGTTGATGAGGTACACTACCTGTTTTCTTTTTAATTTAATCTATCACTTTTACCTACCAAGCCAACGTATTTGGATATGAGGAGGATAAATGTGGATTTTGTCCTTCAGCATATTAACCAAGCCTTGTAGCTTTGTGGCATATGCAAATTTGAAATGTGTCACCAATGAAGATGTTGAACAGGTTGAATCCTGCTTGGATAACTTGTTAGCTGTTGGGCAAGTAACAGCTAGTTACCAGACCTTGATTTTTGTCATCTATCATGGTACTTTGAAATAGAACTTTGTACCATGATAGGAATGTTCTATATCTGTGCTGTCCATTAGAGTAGTCATGAGCCTTGTTGCTGTTGAACACTTGAAATGTGGCTAGTGTATACACTCACTGCAGGGGAAAAAGAAACAAAAGAAAAAAAAAAAAAGAAATGTGGCTAGTGTGACTGAGGAACTGGATTTTTTCTTTTTTTTTTTTAATCTTTTTTATTTTTAATTGTACTTTAGATTCTGGGGTACATGTGCAGATCATGCAGGATTGTTGCATAGGTACATACATGGCAAGATGGTTTGCTGCCTTCCTCCTCCCCTCACCTATATCTGGTATTTCTTGCCATGTTATCCCTCCCCACCCCCTGCTATCCCTTCCCTAGTTCCCCCTTCTTTTATTTAATCTTAAGGAACCAGTGTGTGGCTCTTGTCTACTCTATTGGACAGTGCACATCTACAATGATGATGATCATATGCACCCGAATATTTAACTTCTAATAAAATAAGATCGTGAAATACTTCACAAATGCAAATGAATTATGATATATTTCTTTGTGTATGTACATGTATTACATAGAATTTAAATATTCAATAATATATAAATATAGCTTTAAAATGTGAAATATTGGCAAGGATTAAAATTTAAAAGCTATTTTTTATTACATTTATAGGTGACATAAACAGGTTGATAATGTTCATAAATGAATAATTATTTTGAAAAGATAAATTATCCAAATTTGTCATTCAGTTTTGATATTGGTTAAGTGGTAGTTCTTCACATTGTCTTTTGGGAGTAGTTCTGTTTGAATTTTGAAGTGCTTTATAGCATCATTTTGCAAAGGTTTTTTTTTCTTAATCACTTAGAATAATCAAAATATAAACATTCTTATCTGTTATTTATGTATGCAGAATATAATTTAAAATACTGATTTTTTCCTGCAAAAACATATATTAAAGTCAAGTATTTCATGATATAAATAATTAATAAAGTATCTCAATTTTTCTGGTTTTGTTCCTTTCTAGCTGCATAGATGAATGGTTTGAAGTAAATAGATCTTGCCCTGAGCACCCTTCAGATTAAGCATCAACTTCCTGTTTTATAGGTAATTTTTTTTTGTGATTATTTTTTAAAGTGTTAACCACATTACACATTCTAAACCATTTTTATTTATTAATTTACTCATTGAGGTGCATGAGTGCGTGTATGTATGATTCAGACACTTAGGCTACTGCATAGAAAAACTTACATTAAAAATATTGTATAATTCTAATTGTTGGTTGAGTGGGTTGGCTCATGCCTGTAATCCTAGCACTTTGGGAGGCCTAAGGCAGGTGGACCACTTGAGGCCAAAAGTTCAAGACCATCCTGGCCAAATAAAAACTCTGTCTCTACTAGAAATACAAAAATTAGCCAGGCGTGGTGGTGCGCACTTAAAATCCCAGCTACTCAGGCAGCTGAGGCACAAGAAGCACTTGAACCCAGGAAGTGGAGGTTGCAGTGAGCTGAGATCATGTCAGTGCACTCCAGTCTGGGTGACAAAGCGAGATTCTCTCAAAAATAACAAACCAAAAAATAATAATTCTTATCATTTAGTATTATTATGTACCAGTTGTTGTAAGCATTTTACATCTATTAGTAACTCATCTAATTGTTACAATAACCCTTTTGAGCTCAGTACCATTACCATTTGTATTATGCAGATGGAGAAATTAAGTATAGAGAGGCTAAGAAACTTGATTTTTCAAGGTCATATAACTAGTTTGTTGGTGAGGATGAAATTTGAACCAAGGCATTCTGGTTCCAAAGACTGGTCTTAGCAATTTTGCTCTTTTTAGGTAGGAACATTTTCTTCAAAAAGTTGCATCGTAAATTTATTCAATTTAACTATTTACTTTTGCATCTTTAGCATGTAATAAAGTGCCTGTCTATATAGTAGGCAGAAAATAAAGTTGCATTTTAAAACTGAAAGAAGAACTAGTTTTGTTCTGCTGATTTAAGTTTTTCATGGTTCTGCATTATCTGAAAATGCAGATTGATAACCTCAATTGGGTATTTTCATAGGGCCTTTTTTTTCATATTTCGTGAAGTACATTAAATTGGTATCACTTAGCTTTGAAAAAATAAAGGTTAGCTTAATTGCTATCTTCATATATATGAAAAGCTATTATGAGAAGAATTGCAGAGGTGATGTAAAGCATTGGATTGTTATAATAAGACAGAGCATTTTAGCTAATCCTAGAATTGTTTCAGGAGTTAGAGTCTCTTTGTTCAGGGACTTGTGACAGTAACAGCAGGCTTTTCTGGGAGGCTGAGATTGTTGACAGGGAACTAGACCAGATGATATCCTGAAGTCTACTCCTGTGTTGGTCCCCCCATTTCCTTTTATTTCATTAACTTTCCTTAATTTTGAGAATAAAAATATTGAGGTAATAAACACAGTCAAGGAATTCTGTTGCTGTATTGGTGGAGGATGATTTAAGAGTAGCAGATTAGAATATTGACTGAGAAGATGTGAGTAATAGCAGCAATAGCTCCTGAAATGAGAACTGCAGGTGAGTGTCATAAGACTATGCATGTGTGTGTGAAATGTAAAAGCCTTGGTAAACTATAGAGTACTAAAAGTCTATCACATTTTTAACCTTTACTGTAAATCATGCCTTGACACATTTAAAATACGAATTGAGGCTGATTGTGGCTCACACCTGTAATCCCCGGATTTTAGGTAGGTGAGGTGAGAGGATTGCTTGAGACCAGGAGTTTGAGGCTGCAGCAAGCTATGAACACACCAGTGCACTCCTACCTGGGTGACTGAGCAAATCCCTGTCTAAATAAATAAATAAAATGTGAACGGAAGTAAGAATGCTGGGTAAGAGTAGTATAGTGGTGGAGTGGTATTTTTAATATATGTGCTCATATGTTTTTATTGCACTATAGAAAAGATTTGGAATGCCTTCATTGTCACCTTATAGTTGAGACAATAAAATGAAACTGTGGCTAAAATTATAGAAGCATTTTAAGAGAAGTACCGAAAACTGATGCTAAGAAAATGAGAGATTTTTTTATCTTAGTATTTTACATGCCAAAGTAATAAATCTAAATCCTTCACCTATAGGTAAAATTTGTCTTTTTAGAGTCTCTCTTAGTGTATTTTGGGCTACTATAACAAAATACCTTAGATGAGTAATTTATGCATGACAGAAATTTAATGCTCACAGTTCTGGAAGCTGGGAAGTCTAAGATCAAGGTGCCGGCCAGTAGACTTGGTGTCTGATGAGAGCTCATTTGTCATTTATGGCACCTTCTTTGTGTCCTCACATGGTGGGACAACAGACTCTCTCAGGCTTCTGTAAGCATACTAACCACATTCATGAGCTGATCACCTAATCATGTCCCAAAGGCCCTACCTCTTAATACTATAGCACTACAGATGAGGTTTCAACATAGTGATTTCGGGAGTACACAAACATTTAGACCACAGAGCTGATAAACTTTTTTTGTAAGGTGGAATTATATGGTATAATTTTTTTTTTCTCTCATCACCTAAATTTTTCCTTAGTGTCGCAGTGAACTAATGGGATATGTGGAGCATACATCTCATCTCACAGCTGAAATGCGTATGTCTGTTGATCTTCAACAGCACTCCCATTTTCTTATGTTATCAGTGTTATATTTGCTTATTTGTTTGTTTTCCTGTATAGAACCTGAGTTTGAAACCAGCCTACTACATGGGGCAGGATGAACTGTTAATCAGGTTATCTGCAGAAATCTCAACCAGTGGAGTCTGCTGCTGTGGGTCTTGAAGAGTTATTTTTAAGAGCTTATAGACATGGAGTGTCTTTACTCTTGCACATGTTTGATTCTGTCCTGACTTTTCTTATTTATCAAGTGATAAATTTTTATATGCCTTTTAATTGTCCTAGATTAAAGGTATATGGGTTTGAGGAGGATTCAGTGTTGTTAAAACATTACTTAAAGCACTGTGTAGCCACAAAGCTCAACGTTTCTGATATTCTTCAGCATAATAATTTAATAACCCAAAATAGACATGAATATTTGTGGTCTTGATTAGTTAGAAAATTGCTGTACTTATTTTGGGCTTTTTAGAACTCCGTATGTGTACATTTTTTACTTTGCTGTAGTCCTTATTCTGAAAGGGGGATGACTTTGTTATGTATTTTTTATGACTAAACTATAATTGATCCTCCTGTGTCTTAATCTGTTCTCCTCCAGATCACTGATTTCATGAGTTTTCAGGATAGTACGGGTATGAAAACTTACAGTAACTACAGCAGTGTTCATGGAGAAATCTATTTTTACACAGGTTTTCTTGTCTTTACAAGATGCTTGAAAAACCAAGAGGATATGAAGATACTGTCTCTGGAGAAACAAAAATGCAGGCATACTCAGCCAGAAATCTGAGTTTTGTGAGGACTTGGTAACAAAGATGGACAGTCGTGCTGGGGAAAGACAAAAATCCTGCTGAAGAGAGGACAGTGACCACAGAACTCAGTGTACCAAACATGCATATAAAGGACACACAGGGATTTTGAAAATGCTGCACATCCCTTAATAGTCATCTACGTAGGTAATACTGATAAACATTTTGTATTCAGACGCCAAAGTTAACTGATTTAAAAGTTGATTTACTTTTTATTAAGTTCTCCAGAGCTGCACAACTAGTTATGTTTTGATTTGTTTTATTGTTTAGTTTGGGATCTCTTTGTTTTCCCCAACATAATGTTTCTGCATTCATCTGTTCTTAAATTTAAAACATATAATTTACTTCTTATAAATTAAAGTCTTAAATGTGAAACCAAGAAATTTAATCAAGCAGTAAAAACATTCTCTGAATGTAGACCATGATTTCAAGTTCTTCCATTTTTTCCCCCAAGAGTGGAAAATAGACTTCTACATAGGAAAGCTATGTTAATATTTTTAAATTAAAGATTTAATATCAGAATGCAGTCCAAAGAGTAAATCACATTATATAATTACCTTTTAATTAAATATAGAATACTCTACTGAATTGCAGTTTATTAAATATACTTATCCTCTTAAATAATACTGCTCAACAGTTAATCAGCAGTGAATCATCTTGTAGCTATGCAATTTAAAAAAAAATACAGATTACCAATTTTAAGTGCTGCCGGCTACAATAACTCTGTTTTAACGGGTATCTTTTGTTTGGTCTTTTCACGTAATTTATTGTGCTTTGCATCTCCAGGCAGTTCTCTCACATTTGGGTGAAATGTTTAGCGGGCTGTAAACTTAAGGGTAAAATAAAATTTTCTGAAATGGAACTTGGAATAATTTGAGGGAGGTTTTATATACCTTTAAAAATTGGAATTTAATTGGGATCCCAGATTTATAGCAATTTGCATCTTTAATTTTCCAGATAATCTGGAAGTTAGCGTTTGATAAATGATTTTTTAAAGCAGATATATTTTGTTTATAATTTATTCATGTGTTATTACTGTAATTGAAAATGTTATAGACACTTTTAAATTCAGTTTGTGTGGAAATGTGTTAAACAAAAATATGTGAATAAATTTTCCCACATAATACATCTGAATGGTTAAAAATACTGGAAGAGTTGTCAGGGCTATGATATTGAATGTCTTTTTTTTTTAATATCAAAAATATCGATAAGTAGGTTTTGTGTTTTCAACATAGGGAAAATGTTATCAATGAGTGGGCAGTGCACTTTACTTGGTATAACTGAAAGTTGCACAGTAAGTACTGTTTCCTTATTTTAATCTTTCTTTACTCCTAATGTATTTAAGAAGTTGCTGTTTTATTTAACGCTGCTACTCTTAATCTTCTCTAAATTTGTTCCCCTACTTTCTTGTTTCTGTTTCACATTTTTTAAAAGGGCAAGTACAGGAGCAACTGCTGCTACCCAGAAAAATTTGTATATTATAAATAATTAAAAGAGTTTTTAATTGCTTTCTGTATGATTCCAGATCAGATAACATTTTCCCTAAAGTTATGCTGTGAAATGCCTTTTGTTATGCTGCAATTGCTAAAGGAATCCAAAATCTCCATTGTGACAGCTGACAGCACAGTTTAATAGGTGCTTTTTAACTAGTTGTGGAAAATATTCTCCCCTTAAGGAAACTATTGTTTTTCTAAATTTTTTCTGTTACCATGAAGTCTTAATTTGAATTTATTTTACAATTTTGATTTTGTAAGCTTTCATATCCTCCTACCCAACCCCCTCAAGTAAAACCTCTTAGAATGTGAGTAATTGATTTGTTTTCTATTACTGATATACTGTTGTGATCAGAACTATTTTGTTGTCTTCCATTCTGAAAGGAAGATATTTATACAACTGTGGGGATTATATTCTCCTGGTAGTCAATTTTCTCATAGGTTGATGCAAAAGTCATTGCAAAAACCACCATTACTTTTGCACCAATTTAATATTTCACTTGTTTACTTTTTAAACTATATTGGCTTAAATTCACTTTTTAGCCCCTCTTTGTCATAAGGTTCTGTGCTGCATCTGAAACAATAGAAGCTCCTGTGGTTTTAAAGAAAGTTCGTTGTTTGTCAGTGTCAAGTGCTACTTGATTATTATATTTCTCTGAAACAATATTCACTTAAATCTGTTTATAGCAATCCCCATTTGGCAAAATTTACAAAAGTTGGCATTTTGATATAGCAATCCCCATTTGGCAAAATTTACAAAAGTTGGCATTTTGACTTTAAATTCAGTCTCTATCAGTGACTTACTAAAAAGAGCAGCTTAGAAATAAGGGGGAAAAAAGTTTTTAAAGCCCAAATGCTCCAGTTTTTATTCAAAGTCAAAGTTGTTATTCTGGAAAATACAAGTAATATTCTATATAATGTCACTTAAAATATTTGTAAATCTATTATGCAAACACTGAATAGTATAAGTAAGACATAAAATCACAATAGATACTTAAATATTTAGCTGAAACTACTGACAACTAATTATTATGGGGGACACAATAAAGATTGAAAGCCTGGGTTATCAAGTTGGTTTTTGCTTTCTAGAATCTTTGTAAATACTCATATCCAAATAAGATCACGTGTGCATATATAGAAAGCAGTATGTTCTGAAATTTCACTTTAGTGCCACTCTTTGTCCATAATGGATTTATTGCCTATTTTGAATCCTCATCTTACCTTGATCTGGCTTTTTTTTTTTTTTTCCTTGCCAGAATATTGAGGAGAAAGTAAAATTCTGTTTTAGTTTTGGCCTTTTATCAGAGAAATAGACAAAGCATAGTCTTAATATGTGTTTTTCAGATCTGGTTACAAGATGGATTATAGATTGTGTTTTAAGAGCAATGTTGTGATTGAAATATAAATAATGGCATAACTGGTTTTTTGTGATAGCAGAAACAACATTAAAAAGGTCATGTTACATAATATGCAGGTTTTGGTTTCTTAGTGCAAGTCTTAATTTGTTTTAAATGTTACATAGTTATTTCAGTTTTCACCCACTAGACACTTTACTAGAATGTAGCCCCAAAAGGACTGAGGGCCAACCTCAGCATATCTGCCCTATGTATTTCAAAGATTATAGTCTGAATGAGTTAATGAAAATGGCAGGTTCCTTTTCAAAGCTTATTTGACTCACAGACATATTATTAAGTTTGGGTATAATGAAGTTTAAGAACAATCACTTAAATTAATACCTTATAGCAATGCTGATATTGTTTTAAATGAAAAAGACTGTAAATCCAATGTATATGTTACCTAACCTTATTTAACAAGTTAGGAGAGTGGAAGAGGGGAATTTTTCCAAAAATAAGCTATTGAACAAAGCATGAAACTTTTTTTTTAAATTTAAGAATAATTGAATTTACCATCTAATTGACATTCGTACTGTGTATGGATAATAATATCCAAAACAACTTATTCTTTCACAGAGGAAGTTCTCATTTAAATCAGATTGCTGAGAACTATATAAAACTACACAGAAGTAAATGGTGCTTATTAAATATGAGTATAGTTTGTTAGTTGCTAGAAGTCTTCTAGTTCATTTGGACCATTTTCTTAAAATTTTGATTCATCCTGAGGTGAACTCAGTATATGTTGACAATGAGTGGTTAAATGTGAAGTGCCCTTTTTCAGTTTCCCTTGTTCTTGTACAGGTATTTTCTTAGTTTAAAAAAAAAAAAAAAAATCTAGCATGCCAACATTTTCTCTTTGGCCTATTCCCTTTTTTCTGAAGTGTATAACTTCTGATTTTTTCTTTGCTATGTTGTGAATAACAGTAGTTAAATTCTCTGTTTTATTATCTACTTTTCTTTTCTCTCCAGATCTTTGTATTCTAAAACTAAATTGCTTGGTTTTATTTAGAGGAAATTGCCACTTCGTATACTCCTAGTAGTGATTCATAGTCAAGAATAGCTGGTAAACCTTTCTAGGAAATAACATACAAATAATACTTTGAGTATCATATTTTGTAAATCCCCTGCTTAAGCGAGGAAACAATATTCTTTTTAAATCATAGAATTCCTGTATTAAATGTGAAATACATGGTCTCCAAAGTCAGCTGATGCTCTATGGAAAATGAAAGGCATTGGAGGAGACCAGATATGTTAATACTTAGTTTTAGTTGAAAATGCAACATTACTGTACTTAGTGGGGGGGTTGGTTTAATTTTAGACCAATGACTAAATAATAAGAGAGATTTTTGGTTGCTCATTTAGAGAGAGACAGAAACAGCATGGCGTAAACTAACATCCCAGAAATAAATGAAAAATTTTAAATGATAAAATTTTGTTGTCTATAAACCAGTGTTATCTATGAACTAACATCGTGTTTCTTAGCTCTGATCTGAACAGTGAGGTACCTGTCTTGGCACTGGAAATGACAAAGTTCTGTTACTGAATTCCCATGCCTGCCTTTTCTGACTTAGTAGGTTGAAATTGGTAGGTACTATTGATTTATGTTTGATAAATTTACAGTTCAGCTTATATCCTGTTATCAGTAAACCTGGTACCAGAATCTTAAAACATTTGATTATTCGTAGCATTTCGAGTACCTATCTGCATAAAATATAGTTAGCAGACCTTTACAGAAGTCAAAAGAGACTTTGGAATTTGATGATATTGGTCTTTATTACACTAGTTTATTACATTTTCTTTATAGTAACTGTTTTTGTGAGTTTCATTGAAAGTCATGGCTCTATTGCTTTATTCATGGTTTCCACAACTCTTTCTGTAAAATCTTAATTTTCTCTATTAGGTAAAGTATTTTTCTATTAAATAAGATATCAAAAGCATCAATCACAAGACATAGAGAAAATGAATTAGGAACAACTTGTATTAGTGTATTCTAAACTAAAATGGAAAAAACTCATTCATATTTTCATAAATAAAACTTCCAGATGATCTTGCTAAATTACCCCATTATTTAGAAACAGAAAGAGAAGAATGTTTTCGAGGAAATTTGTCATATTCTCTCTTCTATCTAGAAGTTTACAATAAATTGCAGTAAAACTAAGAAATAACTGAATGCTGAAAAATACCATGAATTAATTAATGTTATGGCTTCTTTATTTTTCTATATTCATTCCCAGAAAATTGAATTTAAAATTATTAATAAAAATTTTATAATAAGTAATAATGCTTGTATTAGTAATGGGCAAAGAAGTCTTTCATTGTTACCTTAACCACAAGTAAAAGATGTACTTTGACATTTCTAATGTAAAACCTGTATGTAAATGTTGTAATTGAAATATGATTGGACAGCTGTTAAATTTTGGGGAGGGAAGCCTCTGCTTCTATGCCAGCGTGCCAAAATGGCTAAGATGCCAGCGTTCTATACTGAAAAGACAAGATGGCACTTCATGGACCATAGCAGATGGAACTGGAGGAGGAAAAGGCAGACAGAGGACTGTGCCAGTATTATCTGTCCAAGATTGAAGAACTCTAGGGTCAGCTGCAATATAAGTTGGATAGGGGAAAGCCACAAGGGACAGTTCTGAACTCCAGGTGCATTTGTAACTGATTGTAAATGATAAGGCCTAAAATCTTTGGAGGCAGCAGGTGCACAGGAATGAACTAAATGCTCAAGTGTGCCTACTGTGAGAGGAGCTACAGCTGCTGCAAGAACAGAACTTCTGTGTCAGGGAAGTAGTCCAGGCCATGGCTAAGAAGAAAGTGTTGGTCCAGGTGCATCCCAAGGACAAGTTTGTTGTAGATGTAGACAAAAATATCAGCATCAGTGATGTGACACCCAGTTCCTGGGTGGTTCTAAGAAATGATAGCTACACTTTATACAAGATCCCACCCAACAAGGTGGACCCATTGGTGTCAATGATGATAGTGAAGGAAGTGCCAGATTTGACTTATGAAATGATTGGCAGACTGACTGGACAGGCAGATGAAGGAGATCAAAGAAGTGATCGAGCTGCCCCAAAAGCATCCCCAGCTCTTCAAAGTGCACTGGGCATTGCCCAGCCCAACGGAGTGCTGCTTGGAAGACACTGTTGGCCTGGGCTCTCTGGCTCATCATAGGGACTGTACCTTTATTCATGTCTCTGGCTCTGAATTGGGACAAAAATTCATTGGGGAATTCCTGTCATGACAGAGAAAATGCTCCTCTGTCATCTTCATGGATGAAATCGACTCCATCGACTCCTCTCAGCTGGAGGGGATTGCTTCACTGGAGGGAACAGTGAAGTGCAGCAGACGATGCTTTGAGGATGGCTTTGAGGCCACCAAGAATATCAGGTTTATCATGGCTACTAAAACGATTGATATCCTGGACTTGGCAATGCTTTTTCCAGGGGACATTGACAGAGAAATTGAATTGCCACCCTGCAATGAGGAGGCCCTGCTGGACACTTTCAAGATTGATTCTCAGAAATGAACCTGACCAAGGGAATCAACCTGAGAAAAATTGCTGAGCTTATGTCAGGAGCATCGGGCTGAAATGAAGGGCATGTGCACAGAAACCAGCCTGTATGCCCTGAGGTAATAGCGAGTCCATGTCACTCAGAAGGACTTTGAGATAGTGGTAGCCAAAGTCATGCCAGAAGACAGCGAGGACAAACACATCCATCAAGAAACTGTGGAATTGAGTAGACATCCATTGTGTGTATCCCTACAATAAAGCTCTATGGAACAAGCAAAACAAAACAAAAAAAAATGTTTTGGGGAGGGGTGGTCTGCTATTGATTATTGCATAATCAATAACTTTTAAAATTTAGCTTGTATTTAGTAACATTTCATTATGTTTTGAAAAGAAGAGTAAAAAGCACCACAGTTTTCATGATGTAAAAGGTATTGAGTTTCCTAGCATAAGAACATGAGTTCTGGAAAAAGTCTTAGGGACATTGAACAAGATAAAGGTCCCCCCCACTTTGTTTGTAAAAAGAGATACTAATGCCTACATCAGGGTTGGTGTGAGGATTAAATTAAAAAGTGCATGTATATAAGCACCAGACACATAGTAAGCACTTAATAATGTTAGTGGCTAGTATAAACAATAAACACATTCTCTCCAGTCATGAGGTGTAGTCATAGTATCTAAGACCTTAACTGAAGTGTTTAAAGAAGCCTAGGTGTAATGGGGAACATTATGGGTGCTGATTTCCACTCTGACTAAAATATAGTGACTTTG